GGGATCATAGAATATTTGATATTGTTTCATTTTACTAATTTCTTTTTGAACGGAGTCTCATGTATTCCTTGCTATCCTGAACTCTATATAGCAGAGGAAGAATTTGAACTTCTGATGTCTCCATTTCTTACTGGCATTTCAGATGTGTGGCACCACCCTTGACACACCCTGGTGCTGAGGGTTCAGCCCAGAGGTTCCTGTGTGCTGGGCAAGATTTCTCAGCCACATCGCTGTCTCCAAACGCCTGATTCTGAAAGCTGCTACTTGACTTGCCAGTTTGAGTTCCATTTTAAAAGAAAGGTTAAGTGCACTTTGGTTTGGTGGATGTGATGGTTACTCTGCCAACTCAACAGGACCTGTGGGGCTTTTCTTCACTAGGATGACTGAAGTAGGACCCAGAAAGATAAAAGGAGGAAGTGGCCTGAACACTAGCATCCCTTGCTCTGCTTCTGACTGCAGATGCAAGGTGAGGAGCTACCTCACGATTCCAAAACCCCTTCCTTCCTGCAGTTCTTTTGCTGGGTATTACTACTGCCACTGTAGGGCAGGGTTCCTAGCATTCCCAAAATAGCCTCATTCCTTGATCAGCTGCTGGGACAAACACTACAACTAAAAGCAACTCAGGAAGGAAAGGGTTGTTTGGTTTCCGCTTCTGTGTCACAGTCCATCACTGAGGGGAGGAACAGCGGGAGCTGAGGAGAAGCCAGGGAGGATGCTGCTAACCGGCTCCTTTCCTGGCCTATGCTCAGCACTGTAAAAAGCCCAGCGGACCAAGTCTTCTTACATTAACTAGCATCAAGACAGCTGTCCCACAGACATGGCCACAGGCCAACCTGATAGAAGCAATTCTTTAAAAAAATTATTTTACATATATATTTGTTTGCCTAAATGTACACATGTACATTATGTATGCTGTCCCCATGGAGGCCAGAAAGCCTAGATCCCTTGGGAATGGAATTACAGTTGTCAGATGCCATAGGGTGCTCTGGAAGAACAGCCAGTATCTACCCACTGTACCATCTCTGCAGCTCCCGAGTTAGTTCTTCAGTGTCTGCAGCTCCTAGGTAGTCAGTTCTTTGGTGGTGCTGCCTCTTCCCAGATTTAGGTTGTGTCAAGTTGACAAAACTGACCAGGCTACACCTACCATTTTGTACTACATATTTATGTGAAGCAGTATACTCAACGTTGATAATTATGAAATCAAATATTAATTATGAAAAATATTGAAGAGGATCTACATTGTAAACTATCAAATATCCAGCCAATATTTATATAAGATAAATCCATCTCATTGATATGAAAAATTGATTTTTTTGAGATATGGTCTCATTATGTAGCCTTGGCTAGACTGTATGTTTCAATCCTTGTTAAAGAATTTTAGAGCTGGAGAGATGTATCGGGTCAAGAGCACTGACTGCTCCTCCAGAGGTCCTGAGTTCAATTCCCAGCACCCATACGGTGGCTCACAAGCATCTATAGTAGGATCTGATGCCCTGTCCTGGCGGGCAGGTGTACATGCAGAGCACTCAGACAAAATATAAATACATAAAACTAAAAAACTATTTAAAATAAGCTTCTTAGGCTGTGGAGAAAGCACAGCATGCATTCAGGTCCCCTGCACCAAAGCTGGGTGCAGTTGTGAGTGCCTGTAATTCCACACTGGGGAGGCAGAGGCAGGAGAATCCTTAGGACTCGATCAGCCAGTATGACTGAAATGGCAAACTCCAGATTCCATGGAGAGAAACTGAGGAAGACACCACTGAACCCTGGTTCTCATATACCCTGCACACACACACACACACACCTGAGGAAGACACCACTGAACCCTAGTTCACATATACCCTGCAACACACACACAACTGAGGAAGACACCACTGAACCCTGGTTTACACATACCCTTCACACATACATACAAAACAAAAATTTATAATTTCCATTAATGTTTGATTTGCATATTTCATGGTCTGTATATATCCAGGTTATGAATTCAACTGAAGAGAATTTAGTTTGTGAGAAAGTTTCAGAGGCCATGTGAATTGTGGTGGTGCATATATTTAATCCCAATAGAGGCAGATGATCTTCTGGAAGTTTGAGGCTAGCCTGGCCTACATAGTGAGTTCTAGGAAAGCCAGGGCTATGCAGAGCAATCTCTTAAACAACCTTTAAAAAAAAAAAAAAAAAAAACAGTGACGGTTCCTGATTAGACTGGCCTCTTGTCTGGTGTGGCGATCCTCCCAAATACATCACCATCAGAAGTATTTTCCTAGCAAACTTTTTTAACTTAGTATTTTGACATCGTGTCTTATGTAGACCAGACTGCCCTCTAGTTCACTCTATAGTCCAGGTTGGCCTTGAACTCCTGATCTTCCTGCCTCTACTCCTCTGACCTGCTTTAGTTTTATTTGTTCATTTTGAGACAGGGTCTTATCTTCCTGTGTAGCCCAGACTGCCCTTGAACTCCCCATCATCCTGCCTGCCACTCCAGCTCCTGGCTGACTGACCTGACTCATTCCTTTACTTAAATTCTTCTGATGACCTAAACTGTGTAGAATAAAGCCCTTCCCACAGACCCGGCCTACCCTACAGCTGCGTATGCTATTCGTTTTTGGCTTTCAGTGAAGTTTGAGTTCCTTAAGGTCCCATATGCCCAGGAAATTCTTACTTAACTGCAAAAGTTCAGTTCAAATAGCTCCTCTTAGACACCTCACAGACAACTAGTTTGCAGTAGGTGTGCCTGGTTTCTCATCTCAAATGCCCAGTTGCTGCTGGTTCTTCTGTCTCCTGTTCCCATGAGAAATAGGAACCAACCAATTTCTTACTGTTCTAGAGTACATCCAGATTCCAAGAAACCGCACGGACTATGCCCGGAATGGGCTTGTGCTGCCCTCTGAAGGCCTTGAGAACCAGCAAGGCCCCTGCACTTTATGTGGTGAGACGGGGGACCATGAAGGAGTCAGATATCAAAAGGGCTGAAGATGGACGGATACTTGGCAGAATGGCAGGTGAAGTTAAAGGAAACAGGCAGTTGTTAGCACTGTTGTATAGGAACAGCCAGCAAGTGTTAGAACTACAGCATCCTTGAGACCATGCCGAGTCCAGAGACCCCTGCGTCACACTGTCATGGTTTAAACCATCAGGGCTCTGTGACTGGCCAGGGTAGAACAGTGACAGTGCAGGTTCCATTTCTATTCACATAAAGTTCCCCTGGTGCCAACACCACTCTGAGGTGGTTTAGCAATCCAGGCTGTTTTAAATCTGTATGTGTATGGGTGTTTCCCCTGCATATATGTTGTGCACCATCTGCATGCAGTGTTTGTAGAGGCCAGAAAAGGGCATCAGACCCCCCAACCCAGGGGTGTCACACAGACATGCTCTTTCACAATGCTCAAGACATGGAAACAGCATTGGAAAGGCAGGGACTACCTGTATTTCAGAAGGGACACACATCACAGTTCTGGTCCAATGGCCAGAACCAGCCCCATGATCCCACACAGGGACTGGGGAAACACCAGAAGAGAGCGGGAACAGAAGGCTTATGAGCAACAGTAAGGCTTATCCCAGACCCCAGCAGGTGGTACCTCCCAGGAAGGAGGAGGAGGTTAGACAGTCAACTACCTGTATTTCAGAAGGGACACACATCACAGTTCTGGTCCAATGGCCAGAACCAGCCCCATGATCCCACACAGGGACTGGGGAAACACCAGAAGAGAGCGGGAACAGAAGGCTTATGAGCAACAGTAAGGCTTATCCCAGACCCCAGCAGGTGGTACCTCCCAGGAAGGAGGAGGAGGTTAGACAGTCAGAGGCAAACAGGAGATACACTGAGCAGAAAGGTTTTGCTAAGGATTTGGGTTGTGAGGTCACCTCAGAGAAAAAGTCCTTTCCGTGGGCATGGATGAGCTGGGCATTACCATCTTACCTGTTGGTTCTCCCCTGGAGCAACGTCTGGAAAAGTCAGGCAACTATACTGCTAGGAGAGATGACCTCATTCAAATGGCAGCTGGTAGGAGTGTATGGGTCCTTGGCATGTGGGCTTTCCACAGGGCTGGTGTACAGCATAATACAAGGACAGGAACAAGAGAAGCAGAAGCCACACTTCCCATTTGAAAGGACATACCATTAACTGCCTTTTTAAATTGGTCACTCAGTGTGGGAACAAGGGCATGCATGGATGTGGGCAGGGATAGTGGGAGCCCATCGTGGAAGCTGCTATCTGACAGCCTCTGGAGGACAGTGATATCTTTTTCTTTTAGACAGTCTCATGTAACCCTGTGGAGTTGAGGAAGACCTTGAACTTCTGATCCTCCTTCCTCTACCTAGAATCACTAGTGTGTGCTACTATGCCTTTATGTGGTACTGGAGACTAAACTAGGCAAGCTCCAGCCTGGAGGACAATATCTTTATTAACCCTTTCTTGATTAGGACATACCATCTTTGCCACTGCTGAGGAAGAATGAGGTGGAATCCACAGTGACCTTGTGAGACACGCAGGCCAACACAGATGGCAAGTATTTTGCAATATGGAAATCTGAGGCTTGAGGACATTCTGTGCTTGGCCTGACTCGACTCCTGGCCTCTCACAGCAGCCTTAGCAGGACAGCGGGCCATCTTAAGCACTGTAAGGCAGTAGCAGCCCCTGAGCAAAGGCCCCTCACTCATTGTGCTGCTTCAGCATGACATGGACCAGGTGCACAGCAGTGCACTGGGGCCTCCACGGCTGCTGCATCTGCAGACAGCCTGGCTGTCTGTGAACAGAGACACTGGTGCATTGTGAAGGTGGGCTCCATCTGTTTTAACCGTGCCAAGGGAAGTCAGCGAAAAGACTGCCTGGAGTGGGAAGGCTGGACCTGAGCCTAGGGGCATGTGTCACCTCTCTCTATTGCTGGGGCTGCCTGGGAAGCCTGGCATCACTCCTCACAGCCCACCCTCAGATAATCACTCTCTCTGCCAGGGCTTCCTCCCTACTCGCCGCACCAAAGAAATCAAAGCCCAAGCTGAGGTATCAGAAACGTGTTCTTTTTTCTTTTAATAGTAAACCTCTTTACAACAAATATAGTGAAAGAGTTTTCAAACCAAACTCGTAAGAATCTCGAGGACTTTGTCTTTTCTTAATGTGCAGAATACTAGAAAGCATCACCGTACAGCACGGAAAGAAATAATGAAACAAATCAACAGCCACACACTTGGGCTCACCCTGCCCAAGACCCAGGAGCCAGGAGTGTGGGTGATTGTCAAGTTTGGGGATGGGTCGCCTCTTGGCTGGCCCCACCCCTCCCTACTTCCCTCTCTCTGGGACTTGAATGGGGTAGAGAATTCAGATTCTCCTTGGGAATCTTAGCTCTCTTGCCCCATTAAATCTCATCCCTCTGCATAAGCAGGAGGCAGAAGGGGGCAGAACAAGGAACTCCCAGCCTCCAGGAAAGCCTACATTCCCCCACAGGGGGTTCCAGAGAGTCAGTTAAAAATAGAGAGAGATAGAGAGACTTTTAGACACTTTCACATCATTTCCGTCTCTCCGAACAAATAAATAATCAGCAAGAGAAGGTGCATCTTTCTTCCTTCCTGTCCGAAGTGGGGAGGGACGTCGAGTGCACTGCTGGGGTGGAGGGAATGTGTTCCACTGAGGCATGTGGGGGTGGCCCTCGGTCTCACTGTCCCTGAAAGCCGAGGGAGATCTGGGTGGGAAGGGCACTGGATGGCGCCAGAGGCTACTTTGGCAAATACCCAGTTTTGCAGAGGAAGTGAATAGGAGGCAAATTTGGCTTGTGAGAGGAAGAAAATAAGTCCCTATTTGAGGTCTGGGTTCCCAGGGATCAATTTACCTGGCCAGCCAGAAGCCCCTACATAGCCCCAGGAGAATCCTGGAGATACTGAACTGCAGAAATATCACATATTCATTCACAGACTGTCCCTACTGTCAGGGACAGGGATGAACACACACACACACACACACACACACACACACACACACCCATACATGGCAATCAGAAGCCAGGTTTGCATTCGGGAAGCAGACTGCACACTGATGAGTAGCACGCTGTGAACGTCAGGGGCCTCACCGCAGCTCTGTGTGATGGTGGCCACGCTCAGCCTGAAAAGAGGCCAGTGATTCCATGTTTATTGAGCACCTATCATTCGCCCATTCAGCATCTGCTGAGGGCCTAAAATGTGCCAGCCGCTTTCAAGGGGAGTGTATGTGTACAGGACTACACCCTGGCTCCCGTCAAGGCCTTAGGCAAGTCTTAAAAACTCCCTCTAGGAACTGTGAGGAGGGGTGGGAAGGCAGGACACATGTTTGACCCCCTTACCTGGTCAGCTACTGGGGTAAAACCCTGGGTAAAAGAGGGTTGCCTGCCTGAAAAGGCAGAGCTCCCAGGAGGAGGAGGAACTTGAGTTTGTCCACAAACAAATCAGAACTCCAGGGTCAGAACTGGTCTGGCTAGGACTAGCGGACAGCCATAAGGAGGCAGAGCTCCCAGAGTGAGGCCCTGGTGGAGGTAGGCTGTAGGGAGAGGTGGGATGGTCAACTAGCAACTCCCTATAACTTTAGTACAAATGTTTCAGGACTGAGAGCAGCCCAGGGAAGAGGGCAGTGAGAAGCACAGAGCTGGAAGCCACCTATCCTTGTGTAAATACACCCAGCCACACAGACACAGAGGCCCCTGGAGCCTGAGTCACTTAAGATTTACGAATACACCCACTGGACTCAGAGGCACTCAAAGGTACATCCGCACAGCTGCACACAATCTCATAAATACAGGGTGCACCCAGAAACGCCCCCACGAGCATGCTCACACCCCTCTGCTTCTGGCTTCTTCCCTGCATCAAGTGTCAATACTACAAAAGGCTGGGTCACAGGCGGGCAAAGACCATCTTCCTACAGCACTGAGCATTGTCTTACTCTACCCACGGAGTGTGTGCTGTCTCCCCTCCCCTCCCCTGGGTGCTTGCCTGCAGCCCCACTGAGGAGGCGACAAAGCACAAGCCTGGGAGAGCAAGGCAAGAACAGCAGAAGAATCCCATCTGTACAGTACGGGCCATTTGAGTCATTATTATTACAATATACTTTGACAAAAATAGAATCTCATTTCATATCAATACAACAACAACAACAACAAACAACACAACAGTTTCCTGGACTGTTAACCACTAACATTTTGGAAGGTTGCTATTTACAATTACAGTAGCAAGAGGGCAGGTTTGGGGCGTGGCCTGGAGGTGGAGGGACAGGAGGTAGCGGGTCAGGGGCAGGAGTTAGGAGGACTGGGGAGGGGCCTCAGGGGCCGCATCTGTAGGGCCCTCTAGCTCCATGGACCATGCTGTGCGCCCCGCGTGCACTCTTCTGGGTGTGGTGCACATAGCAGAGGTACCCTCCCCATGCCTGCCCCTGACAGGCCTCCTGCCCTCAGTGCCCCAAGGAACCAAAGGATGACCCTGGTCCAACCTGGAGCTACTCCACTGAAGGTCCTCTCCCCAACTCTTCCAGTACATGGCCAGCTTTCTAGGGCTGGGGTAGGCTAAAGGATGGGGAGCTATTGCACTGTACATCTTAAAGGAAAAGCCAGGGGTAGGGTCCCGATTCGCCACACCCAGTCCTTCTGCCCTCATCAGCCCTCTTTCTACAGCTGTCTCTCCAATGTTACTTCCAAAGAGGTTCCTACCTCAAGTCCCTGCCCTGGCCTCAGATTCCCAGGCAGCCTTCCTAGAACCCAGATCTTGGGGTGCATCACACAGGACCAGTGAGTGTGGTGTGTACGCAGGAAGCTGGAGGGACCAAGATGGGTATTAGCCATGAACAGCCCGAAGCAGAGTCTCTGTCCCTTCCTGTCCCTGAGACGCAAACCCAACATCAAGCCAGCTCTGGGGTTTTTGTTGTTGGATAGTTTTTGGTTCTTTACGTCTATCTGGGAATGGGATGGGAGGGCTCCACATGCAGGGCTCGGCACCTGTCCTTCTCCAAGGCCTACTGCCCCCACCCCTGCAGCATATGTGTACAACGTGCAAAGTGTCCCCCCCTTTCCCGCAATAAAGAGAGTCCCCCCACCAGTGAAAATGGTGGGGCCAAGAAAGGGGCAAGAGCAACCCTCTCTCTAAAGCGAGAATTCGAATTTAAAAATATAATAATAATAATAATAATAATATAATTATACACAAATGTAACCATCAACAGGACATGGAGCAGAAGAAAGGAAGTGGGGGTCGAGCGGGAGGAGCCCAGGACAGGGAGGGGTAGGCGGTGAGATTGTCAACTCTTCATCAGGGAGGCTGAGAGGAGGGAGTGGGAGCCGTCACTTTAATGTCTGTGAAGAGAGGAGACGGAGAAGGTGGTGTGAGGGGCAGCTTGGCCTACAGGATGCACCCAACCCTCTCCCGAGGGGTAAAACTTTAGGGCAAGGCCAGCTGGAGGTCACTGAGCAGGGCACAATACTGCATGGAAGGAGTCAAGGGCTGTGAGTACTGACCCAAAAGGAATGCTGGCCACAAGGCCTCTCAGGTGGGAAAGAAAGCGGGCTGAGTGCCTGTGGGACAGTCCCTGGGTGATGCAGACACCGGCAGACAGAAGGGCAATATTACAGTACCCAAGTATCCAGCCGCATCCTCTTCACAGCTGAGCCATCAGCCTCAGGCTCTGGGGCTGGGCGCAGCAGGCCTAGTGTGGGCCCAAAGTCCCCCCGTCCATCATCCCGGTCCCCGGTCTCATAGGATCCTCCAGCTGGGCTGCTGAGACCTTCACCAGGATCAGGGCGGGCAGCTGGGAACACAGCTGGAGGAGGAGGTGCAGGGCTGCGCTCACGGCTTGGGGACACTGGTTCTGACTTGATGCTGATGTGCGGGTGGGTGGTGACCGTGAGAGCAGCACCCACATGGGGCAAGGGGCTGCCTGGGCTGGAGTTCAGGGACCAGAAACACAAGAGGCAGTAACACAAAAAGCAGGAAGTCACCAGACAAAGGGTAAGACCAAACAATGAGAGTGGGGAGTTGGGAGAAGAGGGAGACATGACACATGGCAAAGGGGAAGAAGAGAAATGAGTGTTAGCTCCATTCTGTCCACATCATTGTCTAAAGCCTGCACCCTCAGCCCTGCTGGCTAGGAGGAAGAGCTCACTTACTGCACATGGACAACTCCACAGAGACTTCTGTCCTTCACCCCCACCATTCCCACAGTAAACCTCCCACAGACTCACATGAGGTTGCTGAGCGATACGGGGACCAAGTGGGGCTGTTGCTGAGGTGGCTGCTGTGGCTGCTGTGGCTGCGGCTGTGGTTGTGACTGTGGCGGCTGTGGTTGCTGTGGTTGCTGAGGCTGCTGGGGCTGTTGCCAGGCGGTGACATTGCCTAGTGCCAGTCCGGCAGGTGAGCTGAAAGCTGGTAAGGAGGACAGCTCTGCACTGGACAGCTGGTAATCTGCAGTAAGAGAAAGTGAGGGCAGCCTGAGTGGGGAGGACAGGCGGCATCTAACCACAGATGTGAAAGAATGAAGACACTCATGAAGATGACACTAAAGAGTCTAACAAGGCACTGTTTTCTTCAGCAGGATGGAAGGATAGCGGCTTTAAAACAGCATCAGCTTTAAAGTCAGTTCAGTGTTGCTGTTATAAGGACGGTTACAGAAATGAGGAGGGTGCTAGATGCATGGTTCAGTCACCCTACCTATGTTCCACAGTGAGCCCAAGCTCAATTGCTCTAGCCCTGTTTGTAAAGGAAGATGGTTTGACCTCTACAACATTCACAGCTGGAGCTATGATGAGAGATTCTTGGCAACCTCCACTCACTGTGAGATCCTGGGCAAATAATGTCTACAGCAGGGACAGCAAGCAATCCTTCCTGCAGCACGGCCACCAAGGGTACGCAAGTATGCAGAAGGCATGTAGGACAGCAACAGCATTGGGCTCGTACTGAACACTCCAAGATGTAGTAAGCCCCACTGCTCACATAAGACAGATGCTGCAGCACCGGTGAGAGCCCCGAGTGCTTTTCCTATTGTTTTCCACAATGAAGGTCTTGCACATGCTAGGAAGTACTCACCACGCTGCTCTGCACCCAGGCCTCGCCACCTTTTATTTTATTTTTTTGAGACAGGGTCTCAATATGTAGCTCTGGGTGATCTGGAACTCAATATGTAGGCCAGGTTGGCTTTGAACTCACAGAGATCCACCTGCCTCTGCTTTCCGAGAGCTGGGATTAAGGTGTGCAGCACCATGGGCACCCTTTTCTAGTCCCTTTAAACCTCACTCTGGCCTGGCCAGTGACTAGCTTTCTTTTTTTTTTCTTTCACATTTTTGTTTTAAGTTTTTTCCCCCTAGAATTAAAAAAATAACTTATTTTTAAGTGCATTGGTGTTTTGCCTGCATGCATATCTATGTGACGATGTCACAGCCCTTGGAACTGGAGTTACAGACAGTTGTGAGCTGCCATGTAGGTGAATGAACCTGGGTCCTCTGAAGAGCAGCCAGTGCTTTTAACTGCTGAGCCATCTCTCCAGACACCTAGTTACTGGTTTGAGTTTTGTTTTGTTTTTCCAGACAGGGTTTTCCCTGTCTGTCCTGGAACTTGCACTGTAGACCAGGCTGGCCTCGAGCTCACTGAGTGCTGGGATGAAAGGTGTGCACCACCTCCACCAGCTGGTTACTGGTTTTTAAAAGGCAGTGTAAGAGAACTGGTGGTGGTGCACACCTTGATCCCAGCACTTGGGTGGTAGAGGCTGGTGGATCTCTGTGAGTTCAAGGTCAGCATGGTCTACTAATGAGTTGTTCCAGAACAGCCAGGGCTACACAGAAAAACCCTGTCTAGAAAAAACAAAACACGTACGTACCAAAAAACCAAACAAACAAAAAACAAAACAAAACAAAAATCAAAAACAAAGACAGAGGGCTGGAGAGATGGCTCAGAGGTTAAGAGCATTGCCTGATCTTCCAAAGGTCCTGAGTTCAATTCCCAGCAACCACATGGTGGCTCACAACCATCTGTAATGGGGTCTGGTGCCCTCTTCTGGCCTGCAGGCATACAGACAGACAGAATATTGTATACATAATAAATAAATATTAAAAAAAAAAACAAAGACAGAGTGATATGAGCCAAAAGTGGGCCTTACGACTAACTATATCTATCTAACACTATATCTATCTAACTATATCTATATCTATCTAGCTATATCTATCTAACACTATATCTAACTATATCTATATCTATCTAGCTATAACTAACACTATATCTAACTATATCTAACACTATATCTATCTAACTATATCTATATCTATCTAGCTATATCTAACACTATATCTATCTAACACTATATCTAACTATATCTATCTAACACTATATCTAACTGTATCTATCTAACACTATATCTAACTGTATCTATCTAACACTATATCTAACTGTATCTAACACTATATCTAACTGTATCTATCTAACACTATGTCTAACTATATATCTATCTAACTATATCCATCTAACAGTATATCTATCTAACTATATATCTAATACTATATCTATCTAACACTATATATATCTAACTATATCTATCTAACTGTATCTACCTAACACTTATTTTATAAACAAGGAAACTAGACCCAGAACAGGGCAGGGCCTTGTCCAAGACCTGCAGGAAGAGATCAGAACAATCCAATCCTTCTTAGTCCTACCCCATCCCACCACCCTTGACCGGTCTACAGGGAAGTTTATTTCCTAAGGGCCAACAGGTCAACCTCCAGGCCATCTGGTTTCTCCTCAAGCTGCTCTTGTGGTCACCACAGACAGACCTCTAAAGCTTGTGTCCACAAGGGCCAGGCCCATCTCCTATGCAGTATAACTGGAATAGGCCACCCAGCACTTGCTGGAGTTTGGTCTACACCATATGGGGTACCCACAACTATCTGGTGCTGACGGAAGTCTACTTAGCTGCTCCTGAGACAACAGGAACTGAAGCCATACTACAGTGATACACAGGAGTCCACGGTCGGCTCTACTGAGAGCCTGCTTCAGGTTCACCACATAAACTAACTTCCTTCCTGCTTCACAAGAGTAAGTGGGAAAAGCACAGAGAACCACCATGGGTTCTCTAACAAAGCTTCCAAGGAGATCAGAACTGTTTTTAGCCCATTCTCCCACTAGATTCAGGAGAAAGACTTCTCCTTAGCCTTGGGCAGGGGAGGGTGGGGGTGGGGAAGCTAGCAGAGCCTCAGAATCCTCTCATCTACCAATACTCCCTGACACGAGATAGGCCCACAGGGTGCCATTTCTGAAGCAGCCTTTTCCCAGCTTCAGGGAAAAGGATGCATGTGAAGCCCCCAAAGAAGAGGGACAGAGATGTCTGGGCAGGAAATCTGCCCTACAGATGCATGGAACAGGCTGCGCCTGCACTCAGGATTTCTCCTGCTGCTGGGAAGGAGGACAAAGGGGATCACGGATACCGGCAGTGGAGTCTATACCTTCACAAGCTTCTGCGCTGAGGCCTTAGGGAAGTGGCAGAGTTTGGGGCCGTCTGGTTTAGTTTATTCTCACTGCAAAAACAGTCTGAGCACAGGTCACTCAACTATGAGGGCCAGTGGTTGAGGGGGGAAATGGGAAAGAGCCTCCCGACACACAAAAGCTCTGAACTAGGTGACAAAGCATTTCCCACTAGCAAGTCCTTCCTGACAGACGCAACAGAGTGAAACGCAGGCAAGGATGGCTGGGAGCAAAACACTGCTCCGGAGGAAGGTGTGCTGGCTGACAAAACCAGAACAACCCTGTGTCCTACCACAGTGCTTCTGCCCAGAGGCCTTTCCCATGTCCCGGGGGAACTGTTCACCTTTAGACCTGTCCAGCCTCCACCAGCCTCAGCCTGCTCCCTGCTCACTGCTCACAGAACCAGCCCCTCAAGAGCTAGCAAATCCACTCTATACCCCCAGCCTCTTCTCTCGCTCGTTCTCCCCTCTGGGAGGCCTTGCTGCACTGACCATGTCCCTTCTCTAGGCTCGAACCTCAAGTCTATTATCCTGGTGGCCACCTCTGCTTAGGCCAACTCTCTGTCCTGCCCTCACACTGGACAGGGTTACTCTTCCATAAGGACCTAGGTTAAAAATAAAAGATACTCAGTTGCAAGTAAATTTCAGATAAACAAAACATTAAAAAAAATAAGTATAGCTAGATGGGTGCTCGAGAGGCAGAGGCAGGCGGATCTCTGTGAGTTCAAGGTCAGCCTGGTCTACAGAGTGAGTTTCAGGACAGCCAGGGCTACACAGAGAAATCCTGTCTTGAAAAACAAAACAATACAAAACAACAAAAAGTATGTCTCTGGGATATGTTTTAGCACAAAGAAGGCCCTGGGATATATTTAAGACTAAGAAAGTACTTACTTTATCTGGAGTTCAAATTTACCTGTTATTTCTGTTTATATACTTAAAAAAAGATTTTGTGTGTGTGTGTGTGTGTGTGTGTGTGTGCGCCACATGTGTGCAGGTGCCTAGAGAAGCAAGAAGAGGATCTTGGATTCCCTGGAGCTGAAGTTACAGGTAGCAGTGAGTACCAAATGCAGGTGCTAGGAATTGAACCTTGGCTTTCTGGAAGAGCAGCAAGTGCTCCTAATTGTTGAGTACTTTCTTTAGTTCCTGTTTTATTTTATGAGACGAGGTCTCATGTAGCTCAAGCTGAACTTTAACTCCCTATGTAGCTGAGGTAACATTGCCTGTCTCATTCTCTGGCCACTGCCTGAGTGCTCAGACTACAGGCAAGTGCTACCATATCTGGCTTATAGTGTGCTAGAAACGGAACCCAAGGTTTCATGCCTGCAAGGTAAAGACCTTATCGACTGAGCTACACCCCCAACCTGGCATTTTGTTTTTATTTGTTTGATCTACTAACCACAACACTAACTAATGGAGACCCCTCCCGCATTCTATTCTCCTTCTCTGGTCACTCATCTGTTCTAAGTACAAACGGACAACTTACCAAGTTATAGGAACGCTCACCTGTGTTGTAGGCAGTGGGCATGGAGGAGAAAGGGAGGCCCTGGCTGAGTAAACTTGGTGTTGCCACGGAAACCACTGGGGTGGTAAGTGAGTGGGTAGACTGGGAGACCCCAAGGCGCTGGGCATTGTTCTGTAGGAGAAAACTGTTTGTCAAGAGATGGCAGATGGGTGGCCTGCATCAAGGAGGTCCACCACACCACATCTGAGCCAGGTCCCCGAGTTCGAGGGAAGGTACCATAGCATGAAGGCCCACAGACACACACAAGTTGGTGTGTTTGGAGAGCCGCAGACTCAGAGTAAAACATGCACACGGATTCACTTGTATCTGCATCCATGCAGAAAGGAAGGCATGGCTACCGCGCAAAGCTCAATACCAACACTGCCTGCTCCTGGGTGGAGGGGCAGAAGGAAGAGATGTGGTCTCCTCTGGGCTAGGATCACTGGGGTCTCCTCTACACCCGTTACAGTAGCAGATGCCCCAGAAGTGTATTCTGGCATCTGAGAATGGAATGTGCTCTCTGGGGCGGCATGTGATTGCATGTATGCGCACACGTGTGTAGAGCTGTCAGCTCCATCTGCTGCTGAGTCACTTGTTTATTCCAGCTCCACGCTGGGGCCGAAACTGCCGCTGTGTTGGCCGCCAAAGCCTGCTTGCCTTTTCCAGCCTTTCTGGCCTCCTGTCAGCAAGCTGGGGAGGAAGCACCCTCCTCTTTCCTGGCTGATGGTGCGTACGTAAGCACAGGGAGGGGCTGTGTATGTCTCTAAGTGCCTGTGAGACGGGCTCAGGGTAGGAGCTAGCAAACAGGCAGGCAGGAAAGTCCTTGCTAACAACAACTCTAGTCCTGCCTCAGGCCTCAGCTTTCCCCTGAAAACGGCCTTTCTTAGATTTTCTTGTAAGGATTAGGTCAGTCTTGGGTTCCAATGTTACATGGGCCTATGTGGAGTCAGGTAGCCAGAGGGATCCAAGGGCTCAATCCAGACATCTGGCTGGGGCCTCAAAGGCCTGGGGATTGCCTCATGCTCTTTTCCAGATGCACACACATACGTGTGTCTAAATAAATGCAGTAACACATAAACACCCATGCACACACATACACATGCACACCATTGTCCAGCCCTTCCCGCCGCCCCATTCACCTCAGTGTCCCAATCAGCTCTAAGCACAGCTCCTGAGGCCACACGTGGGACACACAGGGAGAAGACTGCTACACAGACTCATCATGCTGCAAACTGCTAACACTGGGCAAAGCTGGAACCCAAAGGCACTGCTATGTCTCAGCCGCACTTACCAGATCTAAATGGTCCTCAGTCTGGGAGCAGAAATAAAACCAAGAGGATGTTCAGGCTATGGCTTCTGCCCTTCCCACACAGCCACCCCATCCACCTGTCTGTCTGAGAGCAGAGTGTTCTTTCTGGCAATCTGATATCCAGAAAATGCTGTATCCTGGCCTCTACCAGTCAGACATTGTGAGCTAGTCCTTACTGTCATACTGCAGTGTGAATTCCTTTATCATCCTCTCACCATAGAACCTTTGCTCCTATCTCCTGCTCATTTCTCTACCCTCTGACCAGCACCACCGTATTCCAAAGGCCCTCAGGGAAGAAAAAGTTCACAAAATACTATACTCTCTCCCTCTCTCAATCTCTCTCTAAGTCCTACATGCCTAACCTTCATTTCTCTTGCTAGAGGTCACTCTTTTCTTCCCACCTCCCAGTCCCCGCCATGGCCCAGAAACCCACTCACCAAATGATGCATTAACCCTTTGCCTCCCTGGGAAGTGATGACCCGCAGATCAGGCTTGCGGCTGGGGGCTCCAAGCTGGGTGTTGTGGGTGGGTGGGGGCGGAGACTTGGCAGGGATGACTTTGTTTAGGCTGTTGCCATTGGCCACAGGGAGGAGGCCAGGGGAAGCTCGGGCGCTGACATAGCCGTTCCCTGGAGAAGTGAGAAAAGGAAAGGAAAGGCTGGCTTGCCTGCTGTCCCTGTCAACTGCCCCATCTTTGTCACTTGGAGGCTCTCAGAGGCACGCCAGGGTTTGACATGTGCACTGAACTGCCTAAAGCCTTGGTCCCCATCACTTGGCCCAAAGTCAGCTTCTAAGTCAAAGTGATAGGGCCAAAGGTATAACTAAAAGTAACCACTGTCACTGCCAGCCCTGGGCACATAAGAGCCCTACGACCATGCCTAGCACTCGGATCCCTCCATCCACTTCACAAAGGACATACAATGACAGAGTGGAAATAGGTGGTAGGCTATGATCTGCTCTTCACTAAGGAGCCTGATTAGAGCTAGCCAACCATTTAGATTGTTTCCTTGTCGGGAGCTGGAACTCTGTGCTTTTCATCACCACAAGACAAGCCTGCAGCCTTGGGGGAGACAGGCTACCGGCTGCTGGTAATGGTGTTGCTAGCACTAGGGGCTGATGATAGAGTCAGTTCTGGGCAGAGGAGGAAGCATGGCACTAGGTACGATGACTTGCCCAGGGCATCTCACTGAGTTCCCAATGCTGGGCTCAGGGCCCATGAGCAAGGAAAGGAGGGTTTACTTCTAGTACCTCATCTTTGACTCCAGTGCACAACTATGCTGAGGCACCCTCATAGCCGTCCATTTTACACAGGAGAGGGGTGGCACTTTGGCTAAGACTGAGCTGGAGGAGTCTAAGGGTCAGGAATGTAGGCGGTGACTATAGAATGAAACCACACCTTGCTCTGTCCCGATAGTATACGGTTACAACCCTCAAAGTGTGTTACTGTCTCTGTCCCAACTCCAAGATCACCCTGGGTATGGCAAGAATGACAGGGTGACGTCAATGGTGACATTAGAAGGTCACCGGCCAGACATCAGCACAGATCAAGAGTGGCTGGAAGTGGCTGGGCACAAAGGCTGCAGTAGCCTTTCTGTGACTCGGGTACGTATCTGTACGGTGACTCCATGGGAACACAGAGCCTATGCACGGGTGGGACATGCATGCCTACCATTGGTCTAGGCAAGTCCTGATCCCAACAAGATGCCCCATTTAATCTGAAAATGCTGGACCATGGTCAGGCATGGAGGTACACGCCTTTAACCCCAGTACTCAGAAGGCAGAGGCAGGAGGATCCCATGAATTTGAGGCCATCTGGGTCTATATAGCAAGTTCCAGGGCAGTCAGAGCTCCATAGTGAGACCTGTCTAAAAGAAAAAAAAAAGTGTGTGTGTGTGTGTGTGTGTGTGTGTGTGTGTGTGCTGACCCTTCCACTTCAATAGCACTATGAATATGAATCCATCCTCAGCTTGCCTGACATTCTTCAGACCCACACCTCTGCGGACTAAGTCACTGCTGTAAACACCAAAATAATGCAGGGGCCTAAAAATCTTCTGATGCATCCTGCTCAGGCACAGCCATCTCCTCCCCTGCCACCCTGTGGAAGGCAGCTCCACTCACCCACGGGACTGGGGCAGGCGCCATTAGCACTGTTGAGGTCTCCACCCAGCATGGCTCCTGCGAGGAAAGCAGAGGTACCATGAGCTTTATCTCAGGACTGGACAAGAAGAGGGGACCCTGGGGAGTCCGGGCTTTTCCCCTCAAGAGTCATAAACATGCAGGAATGCTGTGAAGGGAAACGGAAACCCAGAGGCCCTTCCGCACCTCCCTTCCACCTCAGCAATTCACCATCCAGACTACTTACCTGCACTAGCAGGTCGCTGGGGCAGGCCTGGAGAAACACTGTTTCTCTGTAGTGCTGGCTGCTGGGGGGACAGGAGCCGTGGGTCCGTAAGGGATGACGTCACCAGGGAAGGAGTGACCAGAGAGCCGCTGGGATTGCTGAATTGCATGGAGCTCTGATTGGACACGGGCACTGTGACAGGCATGGCAAAGTTGGGGGCCGGAACAGATGACTAGACAAAAAGACGGAGGGCAGGGTCACACCAGGTGAACCTCTGCCCTGGACCCATTTTGCCCAAGAGGGTAGGCACAGGGTTCTCTGGTTCGTGGACTGTATCTCCAAGCGTCAGCAGCCTGGGTTCCCTGCTTTCAACCCTTTGTAGCCCTGCCTACCTCCCATCAGAAAGGTGAGAGCACCTTGCAGTATAGCTCTGGTCCAAGGCAGGAGAGCAAGGCTCTGCCCACTGCAGACAGGACTGGATACCCCCAGTGGGTTAGTCCTCAGCCAGGCAGGACACACTGGGAGCAAGTTAGTGCCCTGGGTACAGTCCCAAACTCACACACTGCTTGGGACCATGGCTTCACTACACGGCCACCCACCATCCGGCCTGCTTCAGGAGCAGCTCATGCCCACCTCCCTGCCTTTGCTTAGCAGTTCAGCTTCCTTTAAACAAAGCTGAGTGCCTTAGGCAGGGATGCCAAAACAGCACAAGGGGGCCTCTGCCCAAAACAACAGGACAAAAATCATACTCTCCCTCGCCCTCTCAAGACTCATGATATCTGCAGACTTTCTGCTGGTGAAGGGACACTGACTATCTCTCTAGCTTAGGCAAGAACTTTACAAAAAGAGGGTTATCAAGACCAAGGTCAGGAGTTTCTCAGTGGTCAGTACCAGCTCAAGGATGGCTCAGCCTAGTACACCCATGAGAGGCAGCCGAGGGCCGGGCAAGGCTGGGTGAAGCCACACCATGCAGCACAGGAGGCTCTCCTCCATGCGACTACTCACGGCCAGTCTATAACTCTGCATCATCTTATCAAATTCCTCGTCTATCTTTTTATACTTCTCCTCCGTCTGGGGGGTCAGGGCAAACGCCTCGTCCACCTCAGGGCTCTCACATTCCCTGTGCTTCTTGTGCAGCGCCTGGGGGAAGGGCCGGAAGGGGACCAAAGAAAAGGTGAGGAGGGCTCACCCCATAGCGCCTGAAGAGCCCATCCAGTTCCTCACTGGCCCGCCGGTACTTGTCCTCCAGCAGGGGGCTCTGCTCCAGTGAGTCCTCCCCATCCGGCTCTGGGCTGTCACAGCCGTTGAAACCCTTCTTCCTCAGGGTCTGCAACCGCACCACTCAGTCAGCCAGCCAGCAATGGTCCTCCTGCCTCCTCCAAGCTCCTCCCAAGGATCCCAAAGTTCTTCTCCAACCTGTCCTCCCCTGGCTCCCAGAAGCTCCAGTCCCTCCCTCAGAGCCATCCTCCCCGCCTACAATGTTTCTTTGGGGCCCTGAGTGAAGTGGGACCTAACCTAGGCACGAGGCAGGTATGTTCCACAGCTCCATCTAGGAAGAAGGGGGCAGGGGACCCTGTTTATCCAAACCCCCGGGTTCTACTTAGGTGAGAGAACTGGATGGAAACAGGAAAGGATGATACAGGAAAGCACAAAGGACCTGCACTTACTGCGTTTTTTGCTCTATACTACCGGAAACTACCCAGAGACCAAAGCCTTGCACATGGCCTTAAAGTGTACCTGCAGCAGACGCAAGTACTTGTGGTTGCTCAAAACTTTAAAGATACCTGTTTTTATATTTTTTTCAAATCATGTTTATTTATTTACATGTGTGCACGTGCACATGCCATAGCACATGAGTGCATGTCAGAGGACAACCAGCAGGCATTGGTTCTCTTCCTTCCACCACAGGGATCCTAAGAATTAAACTCAGGCCATTAGGCCTGGCAATAAGTGCTTCTATCTGCTAGGCCATCTCAACAGCCCTTGCTTCACTTTAACTTTTATTTACTATTTTCTTTCCAAGACAGGGTTTCACTGTATATCTCTGTCTGTCCTAGAACTAGCTCTTGTAGACTAGGCTGGCCTTGAACTCACAGAGATCCGCCTGCCTCTGCCTCCTGAGTGCTGGGATTAAAGGCATGCTCCACCACCGCCCAGCTTATTTTTATTTTTTCTAGTTTATTTCATGTGTATATGTGTTTTGCCTGCGTGTATGTTTACCAATGAGTGCCTGGTGTCTGCGGGGTTAGAAGAGGTTGGCGCCCCTGGAACTGGAGTTACAGGCAGTTGTGAGGGTGCTATGTGGGTGCTGGGAATCAAACTGCGGTCCTCTGGAAGAACAGCCAGTGCTCTTAATCTCTGTACTCCAAGTTGGCACCCTAGAGCATGAGCTGGCTGTCTCATTCAATCACAGAACACCCTTGTAAGCCGGCACTGCTCAGGCTATGGAGGAGGCCACAGCTCAGAAGTCAAAGCACCTGCCTATGGCTGTGCGGCCAGTGGAGAGTGGGATGAACCCAAAGCTCATGCCCTTCGACATTTCACATTTTGACTCTGAAACAGAAGGCAAGAGCCACACAGACCCATAAAGTCATGGGACAGAAAGGAGATATGGGAACAAAGAGGGATACACAAAAAGGAATATCCCAGAGGATGAAGGAAGGAGGCATTAAAGAGAGAGCAGAAGACAGCAGGATGCCCCTTAGACCCAGCAGGCCAGACTGCCCAAGTCGAGCTGAGGCCTGGTACTGGCTACATGTCTCATGCCTTCGCTCCCTTGGGCCTGGGCTCAGGAGAAGAGGGAGGTTACACACAGGCGCACCTCTATGATGTCAGCATTGGTGCGGCTCTCGTGCGGCTCGTTGTACTCCGTGTACTTGAGCAGCACCTTGTCCATGTCGGTGCTGGCGTACTGGAACAGCTTGTTGGAGTGGTTGAAGATGATGAGCGCGATCTCACAGTCACACAGCACGCTCAGCTCGTACGCCTTCTTCATCAGTCCAAACTTGCGCTTGGTGAACGTCACCTGCAGGAGAGTAGAGGGCGGCCAGGTCTGACAAGAGTCCCTGTGCCCAGAGATATCTGGACATAGTCCCTACCATAGAGTTCCACTCTCAGGGTGACTCAGCCACTCTCTATGGGAATCCCTCATCTAAAAAAGAAAATGGCATCCCTTGGCCAGACCACAGCCAAGACACACCAGAACCAGCCTCAGATGGGAAAGGATTTCGATGGCCAGGAGGCCGCATCTCTGTGCAGCAGGCTGAGAGGAGCAGCAGAGCTCCCAGGTGAGGAGAGGGATGATTCGGCAGTGGGGTTAGGGCCCCGGCCCATTGCAGAGCGGCAGAGGGAAGGAGGCACACGAAGGTGCCCCTCTCTCCACTCAGACCCACCTCTCTGTCACAGCCTCCAGGAGTCCCTAACTTCCAAGAAAGCCCTCTTGTAGAACTGGTCATGGGTGACAGAAGCTGGCTCCCTGCCCTTGCTCTCCTACCACATGGGGCTCTGAGATTTCCTCACCTGGCGGTTCCGCTCATCAGTGATTCGCTGGATCTGAATCTTTTTCCTCCCCATCTTCTCTGGGGGGTCCTTAGTGCCAGAAAGGAAAGGGCTGCTGGGTGGTGGTCAGGAGCCTCACACTGTGCTCATGAATGTCTGGGACTATTTCATGGTCTGTAGAACACCTGTGAACAGGCTCCTAGGAGAGAGAGTCATAAGGACTGTTAATGAGCCCCCAGCCCCCAGCCCCCAGCTTTGTTGCTTGAGATGTGGGCCAGGCTCACTACACCCGTAAGAGGCTAGTGGCATCTCTGTCCCATCCCCAAATTGTGGCAATATTTGCGAGAGAGGAAACGCGCCCCCCCCCCAATACCAAGTGTAAGTTGGGCTCCCCCTGGACCAGCACTTGGTCTAGACTGCTTCCCCAAGTCACTGCTCTTCTTGAGCTCTGGGTCACACAGAAGGTCCAGAGCACCCATGCCCTGTTCTCTGTAGACTCTGGGTGTACTCTGTTGTATTCCTCCCGCCAACTCCTACCCCACCCCCTGGACCAGTGGAGGCTGCTATGCTTGAGCCACAGTGAGAACAGACTGAAAGCAGCAGGCAGAGAGAGGATGTCTGCTGCCCCAGTTAAGGTTGGTGGCAGGATCCTTACATGGACCAACCTGGGGACAGTGGTGTTATAGAATGCCCACTCCAATCAGAGCCCAAGTAGGTTTTTGTTTGAAGGGAGGATGTCCTGCTGCTCAGACACAAACTAACTACTCTAGGTCGGAGGCAGCAAACTTGTTTTCCCTGACTCCTCACCTCGTACTGGGGACTGAACCCAATGGCCCTGCACAGGCTAGGAAAGAGCTCTGCCCAGCTGCATCCTCAGCCCCACTTTCACTGACTGAGTTAAGTCTTGCCGAGTTTCCCAGACTGCCTTTAAATATGTGATCCTCCTGACTCAACCTCCCGAGAAGCTATAATGACAGGCCTGCACCACAGCTAAGTCTGGAACATAGGGTTGCCCACTTTCTAGGTAAGTGCTCCAGCACTGAATTCACCCCAATCCAGGCAGTGTTTCTGTGAAGGGCCAGAAATCAGCACTGCAGCCTGTAAACTCTGTGGCCACTTAGCTCCACGGTAGGAGCCTGGCTGACATGAAGGAGACAACAGGCGGTGGTGACGCACACCTTCAATCCTAACACTCAGGAGGTAGAGCAGGTGGGTCTCGGTGAGTTGAGGCCAGCCTGGTCTCCAGTGAGAGCCCTGGCTCAAAACAAACAAACAAACAAACAAACATAAAAATAAATTACTGAAGGGGGCAGCAGGAAAAGTGCTCTGGGTGACTAAAGAGAGTGCTTCAAATCTAAGAGCCCTTGCTGGTCTTTGTAAAGGACCTGGGTTCAGTTCCCAGCACCCATTTGGAGGGTTACAAACGTCTCTTTATTTTCTGGGGGTGGGGAGGGAGTGAGGGTGAGCAAGGTTTTTCTGTGTAACAGATCCGGCTGTCCTGGAACCTTAGCTGTAGACCAGGCTGACCTCAAACTTGGAGAGATTCCCCCTGCCTGTCTCCCAAGTGCTGGGATTAAAGGTGTGTACCACCACCACCATCACCATCACCACCTGGCCTACAAATGTTTAACTCCTGTTCCAGGGAATCTAAGCCAGTCATCCGGTCTCCACGGGCACTGCACATACATGGTAAAAAGACATACTAACAGGCAGGGAGGTAAGGGATTCCTCTGCAACAGCTGGGTGCCAGCGGATTCTGAGCATTCGAACCTGTGCCTTTCTAGCTTATTCTACAAGGCCTGGAGGTTACAAAGTAAGCGAAGTTCACTGGGCACCCGACTAGGATGAGGTGGGGGTGGTGGAAGGTCTTGACCTGCTTAGGATCATCACAGATCACATGACCATATCTCAGGATTCATTGTCTAGCTTCAACTCTGCCTAAATATCAACAGAGAGTATCCCAGCCCCTTCCCTTACCCTGGAAGAAAGTGTCTTGTCTGCATAAGGTCACCAAAAGAGGAGCTCCATAGTCCCTGGCCTACTGCCCACCCTCTCTCTACACCTCAGACCGCCAGCAGCCTAGCCCTGCGTGATCCAAACAAGCAGCAGTCACCTCTCCTGGCCTCTAACACGAATCCCTGCCCAACTCACTGCAGAGGCCCAGCTGGAATTTCCAGACTTTACCCCTAACTCTTAGGACCATCCACAAACTGCCTTCTCACTGGCCTGGGCAGGTAGGGCAGCACACTGGGGCAAGGGCTATGGTAAATTGGCCTTTTTAGGGTTTGTGTAGCCCAGCCTTGGGAACTCCAATCCAAACCCACAGTGCAGGGTCCTCTTTCCTATCTCCTCTCACCACTGCAGCCCATGAACAGATTCTTGATGACAGAACCTGTCTCCTGCTTATGGCCCATGCTGGCTCCTCAGGCGGGGGGACGTGAACTGTCCCAGCATTTTCAGTTTTCCAAACAGCGAATCTAACCATCTTTCTAGCATTACAGTCTCTAAATAACTGTGTTCTCTTCTGTGCCTAGCTCCCCAAGGCTGGAGCCTCTTGAAGGCAGGAACCAGATCTGTCTTTTTACTATGCTATTGCCTGAAGGAGGAACCCAGAAAATACCCATGCAAACACATATGAGCCTGTGAGAAGTCCCTCCTGCAGTCTAATCTCTGTCCATCCTGCTGTCCTCACTGTCCTCTGCAGGACTAGAACCTTCTATCAGCTGCCCTCAAGCCACCGCTTGGGAACCACTGACCCTCCAACCGACTCTGCCGCTCTCACCCTCATCCCTCTCTACACTCAGCGCGGCTGGTGCAGAGGGTGAGACTCTAAGTCTTCTAAGGAGCAGCCCTGAGCACATGGAGATGGAGAGGATGGGGTTGCTTAGGCAACTGTCGCCTGGCAACCAGTTCCCTGGCTGATCTCCTATACTGCCCCCCCATCCATGCCGCATGCTGGGGGAGCTAGGATATGAGAGAGATCATGGCTGAGAAGGCAGGGAAGTCAGAGAGACCCAGTGAGTATCCTTCGACAGGGAATCTGTCTAAGATGTCAAGCCCCTGCAACCCTCACTCCCTCTATACTAGCTCAGCCATTTATAATAATCCCATGCCTCCCAGGTCTTGCTCAGACCCTGCTGTGGGCAGTCCTTCCTCCCAGCTAACCACAAGCTCTTTTACAAAGCAGGCTCTGTACCCTCTGCTGTGTGCTGCACATTGCTACAGATTCTCTGAAAGCCCTGGGGCAAGGATGTGAGCTCAGTCCTGGTTCTGGAAGGGTGGTGTCTGGGCAGAGATGGCCACAAAGGACCAACCCAACCTTCCCACTTCATCAGAAGGTTTTAACAAACACCTGGACCTGTTAATCAGTCCTCTCTTCAATAACCTAACTAACTGCCAGGAGCCAGAGGCCTGGGCATCTGCTCTCCTGATGCAGGCTCTCCTCCTGCCTGGCCTCGTCAGCCCCTCTTCTCTCATGTCCTGGCCTTCGGGCTGCTCTTTTTTCTTTTTCTTTTTCTTCTTTTTGAGGGTGGAGATGAGACAGGGTCTCTCTGTGTAGCACTCATCCTGTAGACCAGGCTGGCCTTGAACTCAGAGCTCCGCCTGCCTCTGCCTCCCCATGGTTGGACTAAAGGCACATGCCACTGCCTGGATTGGGCTGCTGCTCTTCTAAGCCTAGTCTGCAGCTCTTGGCACACACGCTGAGGTGTCGGGGCCCCAGGCCTTCCCATCCCGACCTCAGGCCACAGCTGTGCACAGCAGCGCCCCTAAGTAGGTTCTAGCTGGGCAGGGTGGTATTCCCAGCAGGACATGACAACAGCAGAGGAAAGAAGAAAGCCTTGGCTGGTGGGATCTATAGGAAAGCCAACACAGGGTGATGGTGGTGGGCAGGAAGTCTGGGAGCTAGGATCCTATGGCAACTGTGCACTGTTTATACGCAAAGGAGGGATAGGTGAAAAGCGAAGGGGCACTGGTGTGAAGGATCATGGGAGAACAGGCTCTTGTCTCCCTAATGTTACACCTCTTGGTACCTGAGCAATAGTCAAACCACTCTGAGGTTTCAGAATCAGGCATCTCAGTTCCTGTGTGAGGGGCCTGGGTGGAGATGGGAGTGGGGTCAGGACTGGGTTCCTGAGCCACTGCTGAAGGGCCAGGCAGGAGCACTCTTTCTCCACAGTCTCCATCCTCCCCGGCTCTTCAGCCACACAGCCCAGTTGTCTGCTTTCTCAGACCCTTCTGCCCTGAGCACTGTGTCCTGGTTGCCTGAGGCTCTAAAAAGCTGCATCTGACCCTGGAGTCCAATACCAGCAGACTCCAATGGAGCAGAGGCCAGAAAGGCCAAGCTCTGGGCTCCTCCTGAAGCGAGTGGGAGGCAAGGAGAGATCTGCTCCCATTAGGCATTCCCCCTCCCTTCCAGGCCGCTGGGGGGCCTCAGGCTGCACTGCAGACAGCTGTCACCCTCCTCCACCCTCTCCCCGTAGGGCTGCAGGGCATGAAATAAGCAGCAGGCGCTGGGGGAGGGGGCGACAATCCAATCCACCTGTCATCCCCATAGTCGGGCAGCCTGCTTGCTAGTGGGAGGAGGCGTGGGCAAGGTGAGGACAGATGCACAGACACAGGAAGGAGACAGAAAAGGGCCAGAGAGGCAAAGGCAAGGGGCTGGGAGAGCAGCTGGGCTGGGCAGCTGAGGGGACCCTAGCAGCCTGCCCTGGGGGCATCCTTCAGGCCTCTCCTCTCCTCCCTGCCCCAAGCTAACTCCCTTCTCCAGAATTCCCAACAGCACACCAAAGCGCAGGTCCCACGCCTTCTAAGTTCTGTCAGGCTGACTACCAAAAACCCTGGTTCCCACCATGTCCCATCATCCCCTCCCCCAGTCAGCAGCTTGGGGCTGGGCAGGGGCTATTTTTAGCTTGGGCAGTGAGCTAATTATAACTCACCAACAGGGGACCTGAGGGCGGGCTAGGGGGCAGTCCAGGAAAGCAGAGCAGGAAGGGGTGGTCCTAGGCACTGTGACCTGTAGAGACAGAAACTGACTTGAGGAGCACCCAGCAGGTGCTAACTTCCCTTGAGCAATTCTCCCATACTCCACCCTCAGCTTCCCACCTCATCCTGTTTTCTCCTTGAGGGACTGTCAACTGTGTCCTACTCCCTGTCCTTCCTGCGGTCTAGCTCCCATTCTTCCTGTAGCAGCGAGGCCTT